GGAAACTGGAAACCATAATAAGCTTTTAAACGAGACAACTAATACCTCGTGATAATTAGATGTTCACAACCAGGAACACATTGTCATCATCATCAATATAAATAAGAAATCATAATTATGATTTCTAGATGGTAATCGTATGACTCATAATCAACCCCTTATCTAGACATGATTACATTTACCCCTGTAAATAAGAGTACCCTTGTAAACGCACCATTATCACACTTCTATTACATCTCTAGTAACTTCTTTATCAGTAAGCGTTCATACTATATCTCTCTTCCTAATTGCCTACTTATTTTCTTCCATTTTATAAAAAAATGTAATGTATTAATAAATACTACCTCCATCCCACTAAGATTGGGGCAAGAGAAGTGACACGATTATTAAGAAAAGTGAGTTTGTGTGGTTGATATTAAATTGATAAAGTAAGAATAAAGTAAGAATGATTTAGAGCCACACACACTTTGCCAAATTTGGTATGGGACAATCTTAGTGGGATTTCCTGAAAAGGTAAAATGGGACAATCTTAGCGAGACGGAGGGAGTAATGAATTAGTGAATACTTTTTTTTACTACTCCGTATTAATTTGTATTTTAACGCAAATTATCAATAATTTATGAGTTTTTTCCCGGAATAATGCTAATTAAAAAAATAATTCCCAAAATACTGTCGGGTTAAGAATAATTCCCAAAATACTGCTGGGTTAACCACAGTTAAGGAAAGCCGCCACTTCAAGTGGCGGCTCTTCATCTATCTTTACAAAAGCCGCCAGTTCGAGTGGCGGCTCTTCTGTAGTAATACAAAAGCCGCCACTTTGAGTGGCGGCTCATTTATCAGCAGAAATACCCCTTTCTTCCCAGTTGACGAAGTCATCTGCACTCCCTCTGCAGCAACCGACGAACGGGAAAAGACCGACGCAAATCCTCCGATTCAGGTCAGATTTCGTCCAAACGAAGCTCAAATCAAAGGGAAAAGGCTCGTGGTATACCCGAGGTCGTTTGTACTCCATTCTAGCGACTTGCTACTGCTTGAATAGAGGTATTCTACCATTTTTGCTAAACCTAGGTTTTTTAATTGGTTGTTCGAAATTACTTGTTTTTTTTAATTACTTTCTTTGTATTTGATGTTGTGAAATGTATAAGTTCTTAATCTAGTTATTATGATTGACTTTAAGTAATTTGTTAAATGTGAATGATGCCAACGTAACTTCCACCTTTTTTTTGCTAAAGCTAGGTTTCTTAGGTATTGCTCCAAATAGCTTGAAATTGTTATTGTTTTGTTCAAAATTGCTGTTGATTCGCTTGAAGTTGTTGTTGTTTACTTGTTTATTAATAGATTTTGATTTTCTTTTACTAATGAAATAATGCTAATTAATCATGTGTTAATTTGTTGCTTTTTCATCACACCGCATTTTTAACCCGGTTAATTATTATGAGTCCTTATTTAATGGTATGAAATCGTAATATGTATCTATGATCTAATACTTTTCGTTTGAATTATAGTAATTGTATTTGAATTTTCAAATAGCAGCATACAACATACTTTTTTTGGAATGATTATTTTATAGAATATGTCTAGAAACTTCTCCATTATTTGTCAATGGGGAGGAAATATTATCGAGGAGTCAAACGGAGTTCATTATGAAGGAGGGATTCGGAAGATAATTGTTGTTTCCCGTGGGGTGGATCTTGCTGAAATTATGAATAAAATTTATGCCGCCACATCCATCAATCGTATGAACAAGTTGGATTTGAAGGTTAAATATCCCATGCATGGTGGATCATACATGTTGATGCCTCTTGCTGACGACGAAGCCGTTACAGGAATGTGGACTGTAATCGAGAATCTTGAAATGCATACCATGGAGATATATGTTGAAGAAGTGGCGGTGTTGCCCATACAACCTGGCCACCCGCCATTGTCTTGCACATCCCCAAGTGTTCCAATTGTGATGAATATGGTTACACAGGAGAATGGAAGATATGTGAACAGTGCTGCAACGTTTCTAGATTCACAGTGCACTGACGATGATGCAGATGAAAATGTGAACCACGACGCGCTAACAGATTCAGATGAAGATGGTGGTGATCTCGTGAGTGGTAATGCTCCATCCAGCCACTCCACTAAAGTTTATGAGCTCCCTGCGGGATATGATGAATCATGGAAGGGTTCTACAACTTCTAGTCGTTTTTCTGTAGATGGTGAGTTTGAGGTTGGGCAAGAGTTTGATAATAAGAAACAATTGATCAACATGGTTAGAGCATACTCTGTAAAGAGGAACCAATTTTTCACAGTTGTTGAGTCTGACAAACACAAATGGGTGGCAGAGTGTAAGAGGAGAAAAGACTGTGGCTGCACTTGGCGGATCCGGGCTACCAAAAAACATTAGAAGCTAGATATGTTCAAAGTTGTTCGTTATGCAGGTCCTCATATACCTACTTGTGTAGGTAACGTCGATAACAATGACCATGCTGGTATCACATCTCAGTTCATAGCCCATGAAATTATTGATCTTCTTCGTACCGATCCATCACTAAAAGTCCGCACTATTAGTCAGCTTATGAAGGAAAGGTACGGCTATATACCTTCGTATAAGCGAAGTTGGTTGGCTAAACAAAAAGCTATCGGTGAAATATTTGGAGATTGGGAGGCGTCGTATTCTGAATTGCCTCATTTCATGTTGGCATTACAACATTCCAATCCAGGGACAGTCGTGCATTGGTACCCACCTCTTTCAGGTACCAATGAGTTATTAAAATCATTATTGTATCATATTAAATTTCATTATAAATTTGTCCTCTTAATTTTCTCCATCTTTCAGGTACCACTGATGTTCAGCAGTTTCAAAGGGTTTTTTGGGCATTTAATCCATCCATTAAGGGCTTTAAACATTGTTGTCCCTTACTAACCATCGATGGAACACACTTATACGGGAAGTATAAAGGTACATTGTTGGTGGCAATGAGTAGTGATGCTAATAATCAACTATTCCCTTTGGCATTTGCGATCTGTGAATCGGAGAATGGAGAGAGTTGGCCCTGGTTTATGGCGTGCATACGTCATTTTATCACACGCAGAGAATTGTGTGTTATTTCAGATCGACATTCTGGAATTATGAAGGCATTTAATGAGGTAGGTGGTGGATGGGAGGAGCCAGATGCACGACATAGGCTTTGCATACGCCATGTCGCTTCTAATCTGCATACTCAATTTAAAGACATTCACCTGAAGAATCTGTTCATTTGGACAGCAAGTCAACGCCAAAAGAAGAAATTTGATGGTGGATTTAATAAGATAGGCGAAATGCAGGCACAAGCACGAGAATATCTAGCCAACATTGGTTTGGAGAAGTGGTCTTTACACCACGACGGGGGGTACAGGTATGGCACCACAACAACAAACATGGCTGAAGTTTTCAATAGTGTCATGAAGAGTGCACGATACCTGCCTGTAACCGCCTTAGTTGAGTTATCATTTTATCGTGTGAATGCCTATTTTGTGGAAAGAAGAGAAACTAGTAAGAGAAGATTAGCAGAAGGGCATCGCTACTGCCAGCAAGTGACCGAAATGATAGAGAAAAATACGGAAAAGGCAAAGCATCACAAGGTCACAATATTTGACATAGGCCATGGTTTATACCAAGTAGAGACGGGTCGTGGTGGTCGAACCACGGGGAAGGGTGGCAGAAAACAAACGGTGAATTTGCAACGTCGCCATTGCACATGTCAGAAGCTGAATATTTATAAGATTCCTTGTTCACATATATTAGCGGTATGCAGACACCGTAGTTTGTCCTATGATGCTTTTGTTGATAAATTTTTTTCTTCCTCGGAGTATGCGGCTTCCTATAAAAGAGTATTTAAGCCCATACCAGATATAGCATACCGACCTACTTACACTGGACCACGAGTTGTGCATGACCCGTCGATGATTCGCGCTAAAGGTCGTCCGAAGGCTAGACGATTGAGAAATGAAATGGATGAAGGTCCTAAAGGTACTGTGAGATGCGGTAACTGCAAGAAAACAGGGCATAACAGGACCACATGTGCTAGAAGATCAGAGGGAAACGTAGGGAGTTCCACTGGGTAATGTTGTTCTTTTATTCGCAAATGCATTAGCAATATTAATAAATAAATAATTTTAATTTAATATGAAAATAAAATAACTAATACACTTATTACTTTTACAGCGCCGATGCAGGTGTCAGTGGATCCCGGTCCGATTGATCCTTCAGTCCTGACATTGCAGGCCACGCACCGGAGCGAGGATGTGTGGCGTGGCCTGGATGTTCAGGTAGATAGGTGTCGTGAGCACCTACGCAGTACATTCCACATGGGGGTGGACGATAGGATTCTTCATTACGTTCGATTAGCTGGGTTTTATGGTGTTCACAGATTAGTTTCGACTTTGCATATAGATAGAGCATTACTTACCGCTCTACTTGAGCGTTGGCGACAGGAGACTCACACATTCCATTTACCGGTGGGTGAGGTCACGATCACATTAGGAGATGTGGCTGTATTGGCAGGTCTATCGATCCAGGGTCGGGCAGTTACTGGGACTGCATGTAGACTGTGGGTTGATGTGGTACATAGATTGTTGGGAGTACGGCCACACCCGGGGACAGATATTCGGGGGTCCGCTTTGAGGATGGCTTGGTTGAGAGAGCATTTTGTTGGTTTACCTGCTGATGCTGATGATGATGTTGTGCAGCAGTACGCGAGAGCATACATTCTGATGCTTATGGGAGCTTCCACGTTTGCGGACAAGAGTGGGAATGAGGTGCAGGTCTTGTATTTACCCATTCTGCAGTCTTTTGATGTAGCTGCAGTTTATAGCTGGGGTAGTGCCACTTTAGCATACCTATATCGGCAGTTATGTCGAGGTTGTCATCGTGACGGTGGAGAGATGGGTGGGTTTTTATTGCTCATACAGCTATGGTCATGGGAGCACATTCATATCGGCAGACCTGTCATACTGCGATATCATGGGGTAGATGGTGGTCCTCTTGATGATGATATGGATCAGCACGCAGTACTTGGGCCACATCATGTTCGTGGCGAGGATCCTTTGGGTCGTAGGTATGTTTACGATTTTTTTTTTGTATGACGTACGTGAATCCCTTATATATTCTTATACATTACAATGTGTCAGATGGCTATTTGCTCATGTCACGCGCACGTCATCCGCTGCTGGGTTAGGATACTACCGAGATGCTTTAGATCGCTTGTGTGATGATCAGGTATATCATTAAATGTAAGTCATTTGTTTTATGTTTTTATAAACCATGGTATAACTTAATTTTATATTATAGATGACGTGGATGCCGTACACTGATGAGATTCTAGGCCTGTTGCCTCCTGTTGCCCGAGAGCACACTCAGATATGGCGAGCACGTGTGCCTTTGATATGTTTTGATGTAGTGGAGCATTACTTTCCTGATCGCGTACTACGCCAGTTTGGGTTGCAGCAGGTTACTCCCGGACCTTGTGATACATCTGTGGATTTGCACAAGATTGATAGACGGGGGAAGCACACTGAAGATTGGGGGATGCGCCATATTCAGTATATCACTATGTGGGATGATAGAGCGGCGTATATAGTGGACGGGATCCCATCTTTAGTCCCCACAGCTTCTGTAGACTACATGACATGGTATTACACCATCACACGAGTGTTTATCTCTCCCAGTTTTCGTTTACCCACTGATCATTACCAGCCTAGCTCAGTCGCTCTTCATATGACGGTAAACAACATAGTCAATAAAATATCTTTATTTATTTATTCATGTGTTTTTCACTATTAACCATGTTTGCATTACAGACACGGGCTTTGCGTAGCATCCATGACAGAGCGACTGCTATACTTGATGAGGCGGTAGATGTACAGGGATACCATGACGCTTGTTTAGGCATTGTTTCACTGTGTGCTGATGTATTGGGTCGAGTCGATTATGGATATATGGCCGCGTCTCAGCATTCCACTGCATCTACATCTGCAGCAGGGTCTTCTCAGGCAGTCCGACGTGATAGAGTTGTTCTTCAGCCTCGTAACCAGCGCAGACGTCCCCGAGCACAACTACATGAACTTCATGATGATGATGATCACGTTGAGTTATGATATTTGTATTTCACTTATTGTGTGAAAGTTGTAGTATGCACTAGCAGATCGAATCATTTTGGGATACACCAGATTTATTATAACTGTTGGATAATTGATACCCATATTGTATAAACAGGAGAGATTGAACAAGAATAGAGAAGAAATGATGAAGAAGAAGGAAATGTGTATAGAATGAATATTTGTTATCTCAGTTACAAGCCTCCTATAAGGAGTATATATAGGGAAAATCCGGGTCTGGGCCTCTAATATGGGCCTGACAGACCCGGTTACATAAATGGACTGATAGTATAAAAAGCTAATCTAGAACATCTGAATAATAATAATAATGTACAATAATATTAATGATATCTGCTAAACGTGTGTGGGCCACTGTCCAGGCCTAGTAGTCGGCATACCGGGGGGTCGGAGTCCATATAATCCATCAGGAGTCCCCCACTCCCTGAGTCGAGAGTACTCGAGGCGAAAGGGAGTAGTCCAAACTGTATCTGCAACGTTCTTCCTCTTTGGCCGGGGGACCACCACCATTGTCCATTATGGGGAGGTGCCTCGTTAAAAACCTTTACTAGGAAAAACCCAGTGGGAAAAAATCATAATAAAGGGAAAAAGAGTACACCTAGCGCCCCCAACATGAAACAAGGAAGGTAAATCCCCTCCGGCATAATCAATCTAGCTCAGCTCCTCTTCAACTGACTCAGCTCTCGTTCCTGCTCTTGCGTGATATTTTCTGCTCATCTAGAAACTCTGACCCCTCAGTCCCCCAGTCCCCACTCTTTGAGGCGAGTGGAGACGAGGTGAAAATGAGTAAAGTCATCTTCGTACCTACACATTTATCATACATATAAAAATATTTCTTGGGATTTATGTTCCCGATCGGGAGTTCGTCACTTGAAACAAATGGAGATGTGAATTGTTAATGTAATGATAAAATACTTAGTAGAATGGATGTGTGAGCCATTCGTAAGCAACGGTCGCCACTCGAGGAATGACTAAGACCGGTCTTCGTACCCGACTTGGTCGGGGTTTTGTCTTCATGCCCGACTTGGTCGGGGCTTTGTGCCTGAGGAGACAGGGCTTTGTGCCTGAGGAGTCAGGGCTTTAAATCCTAGTGATGGGTCTCAAGCCACACTCTACTAGGCATTTGATCATAAGTGCGTGATAGTGTGACATTTAACCGACAAAAAATATTTATTAAAATAAATATAAATAATATTAAAATTAAAGATACTTATCTTTTTGAAGTGGGCTGAAATATTAGACTCTGTGGGCTGATGTTGAGATTTGTATAGGATCTTGTTAATTCATAGGCCCATTTCAACTGGAAAAGAGCCTGTCGACTAAGCTTGGTCCACATCGGTGCAACTCTTAGATCTGGAATCAAAGGGGCTTCCCCTGAGATGATATCCGCAGTGCTAGGGACTCACTCAACCCCTTGCTGCCGCCGGAAACAGAGGGGATAAAGACGATGCTGGATAAGTGAGGCCGGAGAAGGTGAGGAAGCTGCCGCCACTTCCTCCGTCAAGCCAAGCTCTTCTTCGCGCAGGGACGTCACTGGCCTGAAAACAAATCAGCAGCCATCATCGCTAGCTGCCACCGGAGAGAGGAAGAGGGTCCATCAGGGCTGCTTCTTTGCGTGACATTTCTCTGTCACCGGCAAGGTCTTGAGCGCCAGCCTCGCGCAGGGAGTTCGTCATCGCCATTAATGGAAGAAGCCTGCGAGCAACGGTTCTGCAGCGGCGAGATGTGGATACGGCGGCGAACCCGGAGCAGTGACAAACCAGCTTCATCCCGTGTAGATCCTCGTCGAGGCTCCACGCGTTTGGCCTGGTAGACAAAGCATCGCCGGTGAAGGAGGGAGGAGGGAACGAGGCTTACACCATGTTTTTGAGATCTGAGCTTTTCGGTGCTGACTTTGGTCCCGTCACACCACGACGGCCGGAGCAACAACAGCGAGCTGGCCAGCCACGAGATCTGAAACTATGGACGAAAGATTTGGTGCAGCGGCAGGGAGGTCTGGAGCTGTACCTGTGAGATCTGGACGGCGACCGCCACCGTTACTTCCCAGACCAGGTGCGGTGGTAGGCCGCAACTTGGACGGCAACCAAAGATCCGGTCAAATAAGGGACTTCTCAATCTGAAATTCCAGACCCTTCATCCCATTATTTTTTTTTATCTTCAAGAACAGTTTTGGCTAGATTTTTTTCAAGATTGGAATGAAATTTTTGGTATTTTGGGGAGGTTTTCTCACTTGATTGTGTTCAACCTCTCAACGAGAGCACCATTGTTGGATAATTGATACCCATATTGTATAAACAGGAGAGATTGAACAAGAATAGAGAAGAAATGATGAAGAAGAAGGAAATGTGTATAGAATGAATATTTGTTATCTCAGTTACAAGCCTCCTATAAGGAGTATATATAGGGAAAATCCGGGTCTGGGCCTCTAATATGGGCCTGACAGACCCGGTTACATAAATGGACTGATAGTATAAAAAGCTAATCTAGAACATCTGAATAATAATAATAATGTACAATAATATTAATGATATCCGCTAAACGTGTGTGGGCCACTGTCCAGGCCTAGTAGTCGGCATACCGGGGGGTCGGAGTCCATATAATCCATCAATAACTTTTATGGTTCATACTCAATTTTGTGGTGTATTGATTCCGTTTGTGAAAGTCTCATAATATGAAGTTTCATTGATTCGTTTTGTGTTTTGGATGTATGTTGTAATGTAGTTTCATTGATTCGTTTTGTGTTTCGGGTGTATGTTGTCTTAGTAAATCATATGTTTGGTTTTTTTTTTTTTTTTGTGTTTCAGGTGTATCTTGTCTTAGTAAATCATATGTTTGGTTGGTTTTTTTTACTGGAATGTATTGTGAGTCTCTGATGAGCACATAATCTGGTTATTATAGGTTATTACAGGTTTAGTTGTTTAAATTAATGCTGCAGCAGGTACGTTAACACAAAAGCCGCCACTTGAAGTGGCGGCTTTTATACAGCGACACAAGAGCCGCCACTCCAAATGGCGGCTTTTGTAAAGCTTCACAAGAGCCGCCACTTGAAGTGGCGGCTTTCCTTAACCGTGGTTAACCCCAGCAGTATTTTGGGAATTATTCTTAACCCGGCAGTATTTTGGGAATTTATCTTTATTTATGAAGGCCTAATTTTTGTTGCTACACGCCGTTTTCTCGCTTCTTACTTCCGACGGCTGGTGACCCAAGCTTTCATTTCTTCTTATTGTCGGCGCAACATCCGTTGCACACCTCTGTACGAACGAAGTATTAGCTAGAAGCAAAAATGCCCCTGGGAGAGAGGAAAGGTGATGAAAAGAATGATTCCAAGTACTGCGGGGTCGAAACAGAGTTCGACAGTAACATGCCTCAGCTTCTCACCCAGAACATCCATGGTGGTTTCGACTTCATAGTTGCGCCATTGGTCAGTCATTCAAACTAAAGTTGTAGATTTATGTCTGTATATGTGCTCTATAAAAATGCTTCATTTTTTGACTTTGTATGATGCTTATATGTGTTCTTTTCAAGTCTGTGGATTTCACATTTTTGTGGATGCATCAAAGGTGATGACCAATTAACCAACACATTTTAGTCAAGATGGCTAATTCTATAGGTGTTATTGGTCAGTAAGTCACCTATATCAGTATTTAAGGTGCTCTTGGATATGACAGTAATTAGTCCCATTTTGGGAATTAAAAACATGACAGCCCTATTTGTGGAATTTACAAACGTTTTTAGTCCTATTTAGGATAAATTCTTTATTACAATTTGTTAATAGGCTAATATAATTAGGAATCTACCTAATAGATATTTAGGAATCTGCCTAATATCTATTTAGGAATACTTTGTATTTTGACAACTCTTCTATTATAAATATATCTGTCAGGACTCCTATTGAAGTACCTCTTTCCCATTATTTCACATGGTATCGAGAGCTTAGGTTTTTAGATACAGTTTTTTTTTTTTTTTTTTTTTTTCGGTTCCCATGAACCCTAGTACAGCCGCCGCCGCCTCGGGGTCAACTGCCATCACATCTACGGCAGTTTGCGATCCTTTGAAGATGAGCGCGGCTAATATGGTGCAGATCACCTCCTTCACGTCGCTGAACACGGTGCTTGCTTCCAGCGTGCCGTTGAGTTCGCCGCCTGCTGCTGCCTATGTCCGTGCAGCATCCCACCTTCTCTGCGTCGCTGACCACAGTGCTTGCTTCAAGCGCGCTGTTGAGTTCGCCGCTTGCTGCTGCAGACATCTATTCTCATGGAGATCTTATTGTTAAAGATGTGCCTTCTAATCTTCCGCTGGCGGATATATTTATTAAGAAGTTTTTTTTTAGTTTGTAATTTCTTTTTTTTTAAAGACAAACTGCGCGTTGTATCTCCCGCACAGTTTGAGGGGGTGTAATAGGCTAATATAATTAGGAATCTACCTAATAGATATTTAGGAATCTGCCTAATATCTATTTAGGAATACTTTGTATTTTGGCAACTCTTCTATTATAAATATATCTGTCAGGACTCCTATTGGAGTACCTCTTTCCCATTATTTCACATTTGTTACTCTGAAAAAATTGAGGAATGCAGTTCGATTTTTTTTTTTTATAAAAGTAATACCAATATTATAAATGTGTATGCCTAAAGCTTGACGTGATAGGCAAACTTGTATAGATTTGGCTTCCGGGCAGTTTGAAAATAACAGCACCTGATAGCAGAAAACATACTCTCTTGTATCAATAACAATAATCGAAACCAACAAATACGAGTCTCTAA